AATTTTGAAAATGAAATGTATTTTAATATGCACTGACTTTATAATTATTCAAAGTATGTGTATACATTTTTTAGGACATCCTATAGTTAATATGTAATTTCCCCCCAAAATGATATACACATTTAATGTAATTCTGATCAAATTCCCAGCACGATTTGTTTAGATATAGACAAAATTATTATAAAATTTATATTAAAAGGCAAAGAAACTAGAATAGCTAAAACAATTTTGAAAAGAATAAATGAGTAGGATCGCTCTACCCAATTTCAAGATTGATTATAAAGCTACAGTAATTAAGACCATGAGCTATTAGCAGACAGAACAACACATAGTCTATGGAACAGATTAGATAACCCAGAAATAGATGCACACAAACATGACCAATTAATATTTGACAAAAGAGCAAAATCTATTTCACAGAGGTAGGACAGCTTTTTCAACAAATTATAGGACATCCATAAGCAAAAAACAAACCTTGACCTAAACCGGAGCCTTTAAATAAAATTAATACAAAAATAGATTATGGACTTGAATATAAGTCCAATATTACTTATATTACTTCCAGGAAAAAAAAATGAAAGAAAATCTTTGATACTTAGGTCTAGGTAAATGTTCTCAAACTTGACACCCAAAACATTATCCATAAAGGGAAAACTTATAAAGTGGACATCATGAAAATTAAAAACATTTGCTCTGTGAAAGATGCTGATAAGAGGCTGAAAGGACAAATTATGGACTAGGAGACAATATTAGAAAATAACATATGCAATAAGACTTCTGTATAGAATAAACAACTCCTAAAATGCAACAATAAGACAAAAATATCCAATTAACAATGTGCAAAAGACATGGCAGACCCTTTGCCAAGCAGGATATATAGAATTTGTACACAAATGTCCATAGTAGTTTTATTCTTAATGGCTGAAAGCTAGAAGTTACCCAAATGTCTTTCAATGGATGAATGGCTAGACAAATTATTGTGCATCCATACCATGGAATATTACTCAGCAGTGGAAAGCAACTGTTAATACATACAACAACTTGGACGAATCTTGAGGAAATTGTGCTGAGTCAAGAAAGATAATTTCAAAAGTATACATACTGCACGATTCCATTATATAATGTTTGTGTAACAACATAATTATGGAGAAGGAGAACAGATTAGAGCTTGCAGGGGTTAGGGTGGAGGAAAAGGTGTGGGTGAAATCATAAAGGGGCAGTATGAGGGAGTCTTGCGATGGTTCCGTTAGGTGTTTTGACGTAGCGTTGGTTACACAAAGTTATACATGAGATAAAAATTGCATCCCAGCCTGGCTGGTGTGGCTCAGTGGTTGAGTGTTGACCTATGCACCAGATGGTGACTGGTTCAATTCCTGGTCAGGGCCAGTTAAGGGCTTGATCCCCAGTAGGGGGCGTACAGGAGGCAGCCGATCAATTATTCACTCTCATCACTGATGTTTCTATCTCCCCCTTCCTCTCTCAAATCAATAAAAAAATATATTTAAAAAGCACTGCATCCCAGAAAACTCTTTAATCCCTGGCAAATCAGGACAGTTGGTCACTCTAGCAGGGACCACCTTGCAACACTTACAACTCTGCGGAGTTTGGGCTTCACCTAGAAAAATGTAAGTCCTCAGCTGAGATTTTGTGTTCTCTCAGAGCCCTTAGGAAGAGCTGCTTAGAAAGAAGAGCTTGCAGGTGTCAGAGCCAACACAGGTAGGAGCTACTGCCTCATTGGAGCTACTGCAAGAGCAGCCCAATGTGGCAGGCTGGCCAGATGTCCACCAAACTCTTTGGTTTACCTCTGGAGCACATGGCTAGATGATATCACTCAGCAGCCTTTTTAGATGGGTGAGTAAGTGTCTGCGTTCTGACCAATGGGATGTGGGGGAACATGCTTCGCCCTTCTATTTGTAGGTGGTCCTCCATGCCCTGACCCATCCACAGTGAGCTTCTTTTTTTTTTTAATTTTAGAGAGGAAGGGAGAGGGAAAGGGAGATAGAAACATCAATGATGAGAGAGAATCATTAATCAGCTGCCTCCTGCATGCCCCCTACTGGGGATCGAGCCCACAACCTGGGCATGTATCCTTGACCAGGATTGAACCTGGGACCCTTCAGTCCGCAGACTGATTCTCTATCCATTGAGCCAAACCAGCTAGAACCACAGTGAGCTTTAATTCATGTACTGAAGAACTCAGAGTATCCGCTGCAAGGGACCCAAGTCCCCGCTATCCCACTGAGAAGGATTTGCTGTCAGGAGCACAAACTGTAACCATAATGTGTTTCAGCCATTATACCCATTTTTATCTATAACCATTTCCGATGGTTCCTTAACTGATGCCTCTGGTGTGTTCACACCCCCTGGGGATGTTAATAGCACCACTGGCCTCAACGTCCTTCCTTGGTGCCTATATTCAGGGAGGATGATTGGAACAAACTGGTATTCTCATACAGTCCCCTAAAAGCTAGAGAACCCAAGATCCTCTGAGTAGCTCAGGGTGACATGGGGCCCTGAGTTTTGGGTATTAGAATCCTAGAAATATCAAGTTCTGAAAAGTCTGGAAAAGCTTTGAAAGAACACAAAATCTCAGCTGAGCTATTGAACACGTGGAGAAATTGAGCCCATGAGAGCAGGAGGTAGTTGAAGTGCCACAAAGAATTCAGGAAAGCGTGAATGCTCATTTATTCATTCTACAAATATTTAAGCACTTTGTGTGTTGGCACAGGATAAAATAGAAGATTTCTGCAGTCGATCCCCAGTAGGGGGTGTGCAGGAGGCAGCCGATCATTTTATTTTATTTGGAGAGGTTTATTCTATTTTACTGGAGTGGTCAGAGAGCCCTCTGAGAAGGTAGCCTTGAGCTAAGACAGGCCCTGAGGGTATTTGAAGAAGAAGACTTTTCCAGACGGAGGGATAAGAGACTATAGCCTGCAGTCATGCTGAGGGGCGTGACTCCTGTGCACACTGACCTCTGCTTACCTGGGGGCTGTTCTGTTCTGGACTTTGGAGACTTCAGGACTGGGAGTGGTTGGGTCGAAACTGACTTTCCAACTTTCTAACACTTGATCTTCTAGGGTCACTTCATTTCTCCAGGTACCTGAATTTCATATATAAGCATGGAGACTTCTGCATCTGAAGAACTCACTTATTCATTCATTCATTCTACAAACATGCCAAGCCCCTATGCCTGGCATGTGCTGGGCTCCAGCGGCCCAGATATGACCTCATTTCTGATCTGGAGAGTTGAGAATTTAGAGGACGGGATCCCACCTGGTGTGATCAAAGCTGTGATAAAGGCGCTGAGCCTGAACTGAGAATCAGGGAAGGCTTCCTGGATTAGGACACGTCTAGGGCTGGGTCCCGAATGAGTCAGTGGAGCAGGGGGAGGGGATGCAGACCAGCATTCCATGGAGAGGCCACACATGAAAGGCTCAGAGGTATGAGAGGCCTGGAGATGTCTGTGAAATACTAGAGTTGGGTTCTCTAGGGTTAAAGGGGTGAGGGGTGGAGGTAGTGGGGAAAACTGAGATCAGAGAGGTCAGAACTGAGCGCCTTGACGGGCATGGTGGAGGGGGCCCTGCCGGGACACCTGGTTGCACGTCCCAGCTCTGTTCTAGCGTCACTGAGCTATTTAGGATAGGCCCCCCAGTCCAGAGTCCTCAGTGGCCCCATCTGTGAAATGGAACCGTTTGGGTGGGGTGACTTTGACAGTCCACCAAGATCCTTAGAATGTTGTCTGCCAGTGTTCATGGAATCCCACAGAAGGATGGTCAGGCCAGAGCTGCCTCACTCCCTGTGTGTTTCCCTCCCCCTGACATGTCTTCAAATACCCTCACTGCCCTGGGGGACCCCCTAAGGAGGGGGAAAGGGGGCTACAGAGGAGACATCAGTGTTTACCTTCCTTTTCTTTCAGATCAAACCACATACATAAGAAAAAGGAAGGACAATTGTTCAGCAAGAACTTGTCAAAGGTAAGTGTCCCAAGTAGTTGCTAAGAAGACGGGCTGAGCTGTGTGGCTTTAGGCAACTCACTAGGCCTCTCTGAACTTCCCTTTCCTCCCTGTAACACGGGGCTAATCAGAATAGAGCCTCGCTGGCTTGTTTTGAAGATTACAACAACCTCAAAAATGATAGTTAGCATTATTATTGTTGTTATTGTTTTTTAGTGGGTAAGGCAACAGGGGGCAAAAGTGTGTTGTTTGGGTGGGAGAAGGGATTTGGCCCTGAAAGGGTTAAAATCCAAACCAGTTGCTCCGGGTCCCACAGATAAGGGTGGAGAAACACAGTCCAGGTCCCCAGCCCCTTCACTGCAGGATTTATGAGGTGCTGGTTGCTTTGAGTCAAAGATTAGGGGCTTCCCCCAGGCGGGGCAGGAGAAATTCAGGGTCAGTGGCCAGAAAGGGCTTAGGACTCTTGCAAGAAACAGAGCAGGGAGAAACAGAGGCAGGCGGCAGGGCGCGTAGGGAATGCGCCCCACCTGCAGGCGGAGAGCAGAGAGGTGGGCACCAAGAAAGAGAGAAAAGGCAGGGCCAGGGGCCAGCCAGGTGGGGACACCGGGACAGGGACCCAGTGCGAAGGAGAAGATGGGCAAGCGAGAAATTAGGACGGTGCAGTGGGGCTGGGGGAAGAGACAGCAGAGGAGGACCACAGACAGAAAGAGAGAATCAGAGGCAGGAGGCGGGTAGCGGGAGGTGCTGGGAACCGCGGGATGGGGTCACGGGTGTGTGTGTGTGTGTGTGTGTGTGTGGGGACACCGGGACAGGGACCCAGTGCGAAGGAGAAGATGGGCAAGCGAGAAATTAGGACGGTGCAGTGGGGCTGGGGGAAGAGACAGCAGAGGAGGACCACAGACAGAAAGAGAGAATCAGAGGCAGGAGGCGGGTAGCGGGAGGTGCTGGGAACCGCGGGATGGGGTCACGGGTGTGTGTGTGTGTGTGTGTGTGTGTGTTCTTGGGTTTGTGTATTGTGTTGAGCCCCGCCCGGACCAGGCTGCCCAGATGCGGGTGCCACTCTGCCTGTTGCTGCTCGTCGCCCACGCCGCGGACATGCTCCCCCTGAACCGAAGGAGAAAGCAAGGTAGGAGGGGCAGCCAGGCAGGGTGGCCAGGCGGGCACAGCAGGGCTCACCGGGTGGCCCCCGGGGGCATCTGCCCGGTGCCCTGGGCTATTGACTCCTCCAGGTAGGTGTCAATCCCACTTTACAGATGGGGAGACTGAGGCCGATGGCACCCGCTTTGCAAGCTGGACCCAGGAGGCGCTGGGAGGAGAGGAAGGGACGGGCAGGGCTCAGTGCCCCCGCTCCCTAGAGTGGCATCAGTGCCAGGAGGAAGGAAAGTGGCTCTGCGTAGACAGGAAGCCTCCGGTGCAAGGCTGCAGGGCCCTGGGATTAGGGGACGGAGTTGGTGGGCTAGAAGGCATCCTAAACATCCGTGATAGGCCAGGGGGTGACACAAGGAGCTGTGGGCTGCCCAATCCCGTCACCTACCTGACTCAAGGTGTCACTCCAAGAAGTCATCGATCTTCAGTGCCCACCCCACCCCCGCTTGGGGTGAGGGCATGAGCTGCAGGAGTTCAGGGAGACCTGAGACCTGCGTTTGGGTCTGTTTTTTCTGGGAATGACCTGGAATGTCCAGCCCCTCCAAGAGCCTCTGTTTTTTTCATCTTGGCCTCCTGGGGCCACTAGGAAGATGACCCAGGGTTCAGACTATAACCCGGGGCACCAAACCAGGGGCCCTTGCACCCTCACCTCAGGGTCCTATGCCACTGCCCCTGGCTGGGGGAGTCAGCATCCTCAAGAAGGGGGCATGAGGCGGTCCCCACAGAACTGTAATTGGCAGAGCCTGTGGGCGCAGGAGGAACAAGTTTCCACCTACGCCAGGCAGCCCTTCAACCTCTGGGTGCCAAGCTGGGAATCGACCGTCGAATGCCCACCACGGTGTCAAGGGGTATTCACATACGAAGGGAATCCCCACTACATCCTCACGACATAGCTGGATGCCAAGTCTCAGACAGGCTAAGTGACTTTGCAAGTGGTCCAGCAGGTGCATGGAAGACTGGTGGCTTCTTTCTTCCCAGGTGTGGTGTTAGGGCTGAGCAAGGCTACACGGGAATGAGAACCAGAGTCTGCCTTCTGGGGACTTCTAGTCCATTTGAGTGAACAGCCCTACATATGGGCACAGGAGTGGAGCAGGAAGCAGAAAGGGCTGTGGGAGAGCCGGGAGGTAGGATCGGGTGGGGCAGGGAAAATGTGGGGCAGGGATCCAAGCCACCTACCGTCCAAATAGAAGGACCCAGGGACTAGAGAGGTGGGTGGGCTTTCAGTAAGCCCGGGGGGAGGGAGGGGGAGGGACACTCCTCGGTGAATGGCCCTGACATAGTGGTTAAGTGCGTAGGCTCTGGAGTCAGCCTGCCTGGGCTCAAGCCCTCTCTTCCTCAGTTACCGGCTGAGTTCCCCTGGGGAAGCCACTTTGCCTCTAGGAGCCTTAGATTACCCTTCTGGGGACCTTCTAGAGGCTCTCTAAACTCTATCCGTTCTAGAAAAGACCAAAAAAGCTTTCTCCTCATTGCCTCCTCTATAAAATAAGAATAAGTGTCCTAAGTGTGAATAAGTCTGAATGAGTTAATGGGTATGTCAACTGAGTAGCCGAGTGCACCCGCGCCTAGTGGGCACTTGTATTAGTCATTCTTGTTTCCTGTCCATGGTGTTCTTGGCTGCTCTCAACAGCCGAGCCGGGTTGCTCATTATCCGCATGAGGAACTGGAATCTCAGGGGGGGAAACTGGTTGCACAGCCGGTAAGCAGCACAGCAGGCTGGCATCCCCAGGCCTCCGACAGGACACAGGTGCCGCCCTCCATGCTGGGTTGGTCTTCCCTCTCAGAGCTTCCATTTCTCCATCGGAAGAAGAGCTATTTTAGAAGATGTTTAAGGTGTTTGTTTCTAAGTTCCAAAAAGACACACACAGAGAGACACACACACAGAGACAGAAGAAAGGAGAAAAATTCCATTCCTGGTTGCTCAGTGAGGAGGTCAGGCATGGCTGCCCGGTTTGGTGGGGGCTCTCGGCACCCCTCGCCGTGGTAGTTGACCTGTTGCATTTGGACGCATGCATGTCCACCCAGTCCAGCATCTTCAGAGAAAGGCGTGGCTCCACTCATCAGCCAGGTGCGATAGAGACAGCTTTGTACGGGGTGACCTTGAGTAAGTGGGTTGTCCCCTCTTCCCACCCACAGCCTTGGTTTCCCCACTGGTACTGGGGTGGGTGGGTGTTGGAGGGGGTGTAGGAAAACTCTTCCTATAGCATATTCTGCCAAACTGGTTTGGGAAATGCTGGGTTTAGTAGATTTATTGACTGCATGACTTACCAGAGCATTCATGGTGAAGAGGTGAGGATGGAGAGTGGGGCCTTTCCCAAACTAATTACACCTCAGAGACCATTTTTTCATAAGACAGCTGTTTGGAAAATTCCATACGAGATTTCTGAGGGTCTTACTAGCGTTGACATTCTGGTCTAACTTTGGCAGGAGAATGTGTCCTGAAGGCACCTGGGTATTGGCAGTGCTTCATTCACTCATTCATTCATCCATCCACCCATCCATTCATTCATTTGGGTGTTCATTCAGCAAATGTTACAGGGAAGTGTCTGTGCCAGGCTCTGTGTTTGAAACCTCGAGGATGCCAAGGTGAACAGACCTGGGGCCTGCCCTTGAGGAGCTGCCAGTATGAAGGCATGCCCCTCCTCTGACCTGCCCCAGCCTCCCCTCCATGCCCAGTCCTTGGCCCCAGCCTTCGGCCTACTCTGCGAGATCAGGAGGAATGACTCTGACCAGCAGCCGCCCCGTCTGACCCATCACCCCCGGGGCCTGGCTCCCACAGACCTGGGCTTCCTCGGGCTTCAGCGTCACTGCTTCTTGATTAAACTTAATTTTTCTGTTTCTAAGACAAGAAAGAATGAAAGAACAGGCTTGAGAAAGGTTTTTGGATCTCGTGTCTATTACAAAACAACATTTTGATTAATTAAATATAAATGAATCAGAACCAGATGGGGACGTTTCTCTTAAAACACGCCGGGGCGCCCTGGCAGTGGGACACTTGGACAGAGTGAGGGGGCTCTGGTCTGCACCCCCCACTCTGACACAGAGATTCATTAGGCAGCGAGGAGAAGACAGGCTGGGACCGACTTTACCTACCGTCCAAGGACGCTGGGGTGGGGGGCTCGGTGGAGGCCAGAGTCCCCCACATTCTTATGGTGCTTTTCCATCCTTCTAGACCTGAGGCAGTAAGGGGCCGAGGGAGGAGCTCTGGAATTCTGACAGCCCTGGGTTCAAACCCTCAGGCTTCTCCTGCCCTAATGTGACATCTTGGACAGGCCACCTGCCTTCTCTGATCCAGGGCTTCACATCTGTGAAATGGGAACAATTGTACCCACCACCGTCCCAGAGGGAAGGTGCCTGAAGGCATACAGCAGTGTGAATTCAACCACTTCCTCCTCCCACTTGGCAGCAGAGTGGAATACTCCCGGATTGGGGGAGGTGAGACTCACGTGGGTTGAATCTCACCTTTGCCTCCGCCCCATGAGCCTCTTTTCCTTTGTTTGTAAAAGGACTGTGCCAGCGCCCCCTCCAAAGGCTTGTTAGGTGGACTGAATATAATAATAATTCTCTGTAAACAGGAAAGCCCTGTGGGCAGCCGGCAGGCAGCACTGCCCCGTGCACAGACAGAGAAGCTGAGACCCGTAAGCAGGTGCCCAAGGCCTGATGGGGGAGGACACGGACTTCTTGTCTCCAGTTCAGGGCCTCGACTAGGCACAGAACAAGGTGCAGCCCCCTAAACGCTAGCGTCCAGGTGAAAGCAGGTGAAGATGCATGTCAGGGGCGGAGCTGGAGGGGAAACAGGACTCCTGAAGGGCAGGGGGTGGGTGATATCGACATGGGGAGCCTTCGGAGAGTGGCCCTGTGGGTCAGTACAGTGCTATCTTGGGCAAGTCCTTCTGCCCCTCCAGATCATGTTTTCCTCATAACACAGAGGCTGGTTGAGAAAAGAGGAGCAGGATACGCAGCGTGGAGTAGGTGCTCAACAAAACAGGCCCTGCTCACCGCCCTCCCCCTCTGAAGCCAGTTTTGAAGCCAAACTTGGGGCTCAAATGAGATGCTGTTTTCACCTCACATGGCTCTCATTCCCCAGGGAGCCCACTTCCTCTTCAGTGGATGGGAGCCACCCAGACCCAGCAGGAGGCCCTTGAGACTTAGTGAGGGCTGGCCACGTGCAGGAGCTATGCATATGGGCCGTGAGTCCTCACTATGGCTCTGCCGTCTCTCAGACAAGGGAGCGGAGGCTCAGAAAGGGACAGTGACCTGTCTAGGAGGCTCCAAAGCCTGTGCACAGAAATAGAAGTGAATCCTGTTCGTGACTTGCCAACGACTGCCTGGCAGAGGCATCTGAGGGGAGCCTCATCAGGGGGGTAGATTTAGGATTTTGTCAGGCAGGCATGGCAGCAGGGTAGGGGCTGGGGACTTTGGCAAGAGGAGAGAAGGTTGTATCTAGGTGGAAAGGGTCCGAGGAAGTGAAGGTCAGATTGCAGACAGGGCCAGACTCAGTCATGGATGGCCTCGGATGCCACTCGCCTGTCACCATAGTCACAAAGAAATATTGATTGAGCCCTTCCTCGGGGCCAGGCCCTGGACCAGGTGTTGACAAGGACAGCAGAGATGCGCTCTACTTCTCTGCTGTCAGAGGCCCAGCATCTCCTTGAGATGCCAGGAACAGGTCCCTCGGAAGGATGACAGAGACAGGATCCCGCTGCTCCTCCCCCCGCCTTGGGAGGCAGGTCGGTGGTGGTCCCACGCTCAGCTGAGGGGTCTGAGACCCTAAGATGGGACTTTGCTTGCTTTAGATGTCACATGGATTAGGTGACCCTGTTCGTTGTATTCCCCTCCCTGTTCTTGTCTCTCAGTCCACTGTTTGTTCATCCATCTTTTTGTCCTTCCATCTAGTGAAAAAAAACTGAAGCTCACATTAATTAAAAGTTTTTCACACTGAGGTTTGCAACCCAACAGCAGGTCAGGCAAATGCATTTAGTA